ACAGATGACGTTACATTGATGCCACCTTACTGACTGAGTCTTTGGGTCGCCACGGACAATGAAACTATGTGGGCTTCCTCATCATTAACTTATGCTGGTCTGGTCCCTGCCATGCATGAGGTGATTGGGTCCGTAGCTGCAAAAGCGTGCCACCTCCTCCGCTCAAAAGTGCACGGGAACGGAAAGAAGGTAATGGCACCCGACGTCTCCACTCTCCGCCCACGCTATCCTTGAGATGGAGCACCTGCGTGGATACAAAAGTCCTAGCTTATTTGACTATGATTAGGCTTGTGATTGGCCGTACGACAGCGCGGGTGGAGTCGGGAGACGACACCCGGCTATCATCATCCTCCAACCTGGTTCCCATGCATTTTGAGCGGAAAAAAGGGGCACGCTAATGCAGCTGCGAACCCATTCACCTCACACATGGCAAGAACCAGGATACGTGGAGGTGACTGAACAGTTTGTCTTCATTTTTCATCAGATAGCACTTCAATGACATGTCACCTCTGAATAGGTAACCCAGCTCATCGACACCTGCGCCTAATTCGTCTGAAACCAAATTCCCAATGTTCACTCACTTCAGCTAGCACTCGTAATGTATTTTCATATGCCGCCGAAGCGGCAGGGAATAGCATTTCCGTTCCAGTTACAGACGACGTTACAGTCTTCAGCATAGCTCTTCCAGACATCTGCGCACCACCTCGATGCGAAGGAGAGCAGAGAACGCTCAGCCGAGCGAGCTGCCTGCAACAGTAATGCTAGTCAATGGATCATCTGAAGCCGTTTATGAACTGTAGACCAGAAAATGTGGATGAAAGTGCGAAAGTAACCTTGCTATGTGTTCCATTGTCGCCGATGCTATCGCTGTTCGATCCAGCACACCTGTGTGCAATTCCCCAAGAATGGTATTCCGTTTCTCGCGACTCTGAGCCATTTGAGCATCAGCCGCTTCGTTGAACTTCGTAGTAGTGACCTATAATAAGATTATGGTCCATGGACCGTCCTGCCGCGGGAGAAAATTTTCTTTACATACGACCCCCACTCAATATTTCTCATATGCTACGACCCCCTCCTCTTTCACCCATCCTACTAGTTTCAGCTATCGAAACATCAGTCGTATAGTAGTTCTGAAATCACACTTACTAAGGTGGGTGACGGTGCGAAACGTCCGTGAAACCTCTGAAACAAGGAAAAATCAGCTATCAAAAAGAAATCTTCAGAACTACCCTTGCAGCGACTAAAAACCTTCACTTAGGATTCCTCAACATACGACGTGTCCTGCTTTCAATACCTCGTAACTATGCAGTGAAAAGGACGAAATTTTCGGCGTCAGTTAATTCTTCTTGGGATGCGCTACGCATTCTACTTCCATCAGAATCCGGCAGTGGCCTTCTGGAGAGCAAGAGTAGGCTACAGACAGCTTGTAGGACACGGAGATGTCCAAGTCAGAATTTCTATCCACATGGGTGGGTGTGGTACCGTAAGTAGCTCTGAGAGATAGAAGGTTTGGTTGATCGGGGTGTGATCAGACCCGCGGAGAGCATGCTGCTGGCGCAGGCGTCATTGACCTATGCACCAAGCTCTGTCCTCAGACAACGATCGCCAGAGACAAAACTTGTGAAAGGACTCTTGAACACATTAGATTTCTCATCCTGGCCTTTACTTCGTAGTACTTCGTGAGAAGCTTTATGGCAAAAACAACTCTAGAAGTTCCTACCTGAACTGCAGTATTGAAAGGATTTGTGCAGCGAATCCCACATCGCAATTGCACCGGTATTTGCTGCATGACACCCTGTATGGAGCTTTCGCTTACAAGCGACATACTTTGCTCTTCACTAGCCATGTTTCACCGCCTAGACTACGTAGTCCCTAAATAAAAAATTATTATATTCCGCGGGAGATTTCGTTTGCGAACCCAAAAAAGAAGGAATAGTTGCATCTAGAGGCACAGTCCGCGATAATGTTAATAGCGGGGACTCACAACTATCCTAGCTTCCTCATTGACACAGTAGCCCTTTACCGTATCTGAAGGAGGGACATGTCGATATGGAAAGTACGGAAGCTCTGTGTGCCCATCCGCCTCATCACGTAACTTATCCCCAAGCGCGTACAACTTGTTAACACAATTCCAAACTTACTCCGATATTGTACGGATATGTTTGATGAGTGGATTTATCATTTCCATAATAGTATTCACATGAAATATTGCACTCATATCAACAACTGGTGCAGGCGGTAAGCTACGGTGAGCAGGCAGTACAGGAAAACCAATCGCTCTCGAGTTTCTTGGCCTATAAATATGTATCTCTGTTTATCAAAGTAAATAAAAGTCATCAGATTGATATCAAGCTGGTAATTTGATTTCATATGATAATTCAAAAATTTGTCTGCGATTTTGAATAATGTGAAAATATGCCCTCTACTAACTTACTTGTTCAAGAAATGATCAGATATGTGCTGAGAAGGATCTCTTGGTCCCAAATGGCATGTCAGCGAAAATAACTAAATGACAAAATCACTTTAGATGTTACTAACTACACTGCTAGGACATCACTGAACTTAAACGTGTGCAGGAAAGCACGGCACTTGACCGTGTAGGCGGAGACAGTCAACCAATTTGCATTTCTCATTGGTTCACCCTCCTCTTCACTCCTCTGAGAGAAAACACGCCAATGTGGCAGGCAAAGTGGCATGGTGCCTAGTACGATATCTTCTTAGGAAAACCTGTCACGCTAACCTTTTCCTCCTGTTGTTCTTCTTGCGTCAACTTGTTTCTGTCGACAAAATCTAGCCAAATGTTCTTGAAACGAATTATTTCTTGATAATAGAGGAATATTACCAAGCATTGAAGCAAACCTTGTCATCGGCCAGGATAAGCTGCAAGAGGTAATCCAAATCGAAGACCGAGAAATCGAATCCCTTGCGAGTGACTTCATGTGAGCAGAACAGCCAGCCATTCACTGCTTTGGCGAGGCTTAAAAATCCGCTTATCAATCCAAGCCTGATATGGTCAGACTCAAAAACCTTGTCACAGTTCCAATACAGAAGTCTCTCTGTATTTTCCATATTTCGGTGAATGGAGGCCTACCGGGTTGAAAAGGCAGCGGGGTTAGAGGTACTACTCCCCGTCCTTTTATAGTCCAGTGACCCAGTGATCCGAGCTAGATTTCCTCCCGGTTAGTCATATGATGCTAGATTAACCTAGAGGAGGCACGGTAAATATTAAACTGTCATTATGTGTTCTAAAGATCTTTGGAAGAATGCACAACTGCTTACAAAGATTGAGGGCGTGGCGCAAGCACGTTTGCAATAGTAGAAAAGGTCAGGTGCTATACTTTTTCTTATAGCCACCCAGCTGCTACGAATACGCAACCTCTGTATTCTATAATCTTCAGAAACAAATTGTACACTCGCTTCCGTGAATCCTGTTCCGTGCCTCGTGCGAGGTTAATGGGTCCTCAGCTGCAAAAACGTGCTAATTTCTTCGCTCAGAAGCACGGTACGGGGCGTAAGGATACTGGTGCCCGACTGTTGCCTCTACAACGCGCTATCGCACGGCCAGCCACAAAACCAACCATAGCCAAACACGCTACTTGTCTACATCCTCTCACATATGGTTGTTCTCTAACTCTGACTGCGTGTTCTCTGCGGCATTTCGGAAGAACAACATTTCGGTGCTGCACATACGCACAACAGCGAATCAGGGGACGCTACCTGGGTGCCAACACCCTTCAACCCCTTTCCTTCGCACTTCATTGCATCTGTGCATCTGTGACAACTCACCCGGCACATGGAAATGGCCGTCTTCGAAGGCATGTACAGCTCGTCTTCAATTTAGAACCGCTGTCATTTACTCATTATTCCATCCTGCACCTACACCCTCACCCTCTTCCACCCATCGTGGGATGGGCAGTGGTGCGTGAAGATGATTCGTAACACCTTACCCTTTTGGGATCAATCCGCGTTTCCCGTTAGCACTTTTCTGCATGGAATAAGGACCGACTCAGCTGCTGTGGAGTCCATGAAGCGACGCGCAAAAGAGTACTTCCTCCTGCAAGCTGCTTACCATATATGCATAATCACACACGTAAAGAAATGAGAAGTACATCAGCCTTACCCATTCACAGTTTTCAGTCGGTAACTCTCAGTGGCCAGGCGTTGCACAGCTAGAGGAAATACAGTGCTGTCTTTGCAAATTGGAATGAATTCAGCCCATCTGTACACAGCAATCCTGGGTAGAGGTAGGAGGATGGATGACTTCGACGCTGCTTTCTAGATAACACTAGATCACCTAGACGTTACTTGCAAGCAAAAGTAAGCAATCATAGAAACGATGAAGCTCACCTTCGCGGCCTTGTTCTACAGTGGTCTTATCTTTCTTCACCAGAGTTTCGTATAAATGTTGATAAAACACTGGATAACTCTTGCTTTCCACAAGAAGAAGGAGATATGTGGCCCATGGAGACACTCCATACATATTGCTAGCAATCAAGGGTGGTGGCGCTTGTTCAGCTGTGAACATCGACAAAATCCCCCGTGAGTTCTCACGCCACGACGTGAGCATTTGCTGAAAAACGTTATTACTGTCTCCTTGCGGCTTTTTTATATAAGACCGCGTACATATTAGAGTCGACGGGGAGAATTAGGCGCGAGGAACAGAAATGATGCGCATAACCAAAGTACATGATATAAATCAGTTCGCAGGATCCCAGCAGAAGCGAACGATAGAGGAATCGATGGAAAAAATCGAACTGGTTTGCTGTTCTCAGAGGACTCTGCGATCCCGGGAAACGCGGAATGCGCTAGCAGGCGGATGCGACAGATTCCTACCGTTTTGTTCGTTGCGGATGACGGGGCGTGTCATGAAAGGTTTGGAGCGCCGCCAGCCCGCCGCACGCGGCATTCCTCTGTCTGTGCCTTTTTCGAAGCCGCGGCTGCTCTAAATCGACACGCCCTTTGTCGCCGATGCTATTTAACCGCGATATCTCCCAATTCGCGGACTCTCCAAGTATGGACACTCTTCGAGTCCTTGTTATACCATTTTCACTTTAAATTCGCCCTTTTTCAAACCAAATTCGTCCTTTTTCAAACCAAATTCGTCCTTTTTCAAACCAAATTCGTCCTTTTTCAAACCAAATTCGTCCTTTTTCAAACCAAATTCGTCCTTTTTCAAACCAAATTCGTCCCTTTTTCAAACCAAATTCGTCCTTTTTCAAACCAAATTCGTCCTTTTTCAAACCAAATTCACCCTCACTCTTCATCAAGAACCACACTTATTAGGGCGGGCAACTCATCAACCAGATCACGCCAGACATCACTGCGAGCCCCGCCCCGACGGCCACGCCCACTTGTCAGCGCGGACATAGATTCTCAAATCTTGTTTCATAACTTCTGCTTTTGCTGTTTCCCACAAACCCTTTGACTGGAAACCACCGTGCATTCACACATGGCCGACTCCGCCCATTCTCTAAAGGGTTTGGCACTCTAGGCTGACCACGCCCACTGGCTTTTCGCGGAATTTCGATGTTTTTTCAAAATTTTTGCAATTTAGGGTTGCTGCGTGAAGCCCCGCCCTTTGTGAGATGCTCCGCCCACTTTGAAGGCCCGCCCACTTTTCAAAAATGGTGCAGATCGGCAGTATAGAGACTTGGCTTGCATGTTAGGGTCTCGTACGTCACTCGGAACAAGAAAATCCGGCAAAGTTTATTCCGAATGATCAGCAATACCCTAACATGCAAGCCAAGGACTCCTTATATCCCTTGCACCGATTCTCTTGAAAAGTGGGCGGGGCTTATTCAAAGTGGGCGGAGCATCTCACAAAGGGCGGGGCTTCACGCAGCAACCCTAAATTGCAAAAATTTTGAAAAAACATCGAAATTCCGCGAAAAGCCAGTGGGCGTGGTCAGCCTAGAGTGCCAAACCCTTTTCAGAGAAGCACGGGCGGAGTCGGCCATGTGTGAAATGCACTTGCACGGTGGTTTCCAGTCAAAGGTTTGTGGGAAACAGCAAAAGCAGAAGTTATGAAACAAGATTTGAGAATCTATGTCCGCGCTGACAAGTGGGCGTGGCCGTCGGGCGGGGCTCGCAGTGATGTCTGGCGTGATCTGGTTGATGAGTTGCCCGCCCTAATAAGTGTGGTTCTTGATGAAGAGTGAGGGTGAATTTGGTTTGAAAAAGGACGAATTTGGTTTGAAAAAGGACGAATTTGGTTTGAAAAAGGACGAATTTGGTTTGAAAAAGGGCCGAGAGTGTGAGAGAGTGAAGAGTGTGAGTAGGAGGGGTGTGACTTCTTGCCGGGCAATTTTGAATGTTCTCTTGCATGCACAACACTGCTTAGAGGTAACAATATAAATTTTATCGATTGGAAAAGGTGGCAATAGGCTAACGTTCCACAATAATGACTAGAACGTACCTGATAAAGCCCGTAGATGATTTCCGGAATCCCTAAAAGATTAACAGGATCGTGTATGAATGCGATATGGGTAATCGAACCAAGAACTTGCAGTGTTGCCTGAAAATGTCAGTCTTATTAAGAAATTTCCGGAAATTTTGCTAATTCTAGCAATTATAACGTCTCTTTAAACCCACACTATCGTTAATCCACAGTGTCTGCCGTCGAATCGCAAAGAAGATTAACCCATGCTCCGTAAATACTGGCCCATATCATGTACATGTTTTGAATAGTACTAAAAACTGGTACGTTATAGTCGCAAATTAAAGGTAGTTGGCACGATAAATCCCCTAAGAATAGGATTAATACGCCTGGCAGGACGGAATTTCGACCCTGAGCAGGCGCTGCATAATGCCTTTTCCAAGGGAAGGTGCCCTTATAAAGGGCCCTATCAAGCCACAACATTACGACCCAAACGCCCGCCACGCCCGCCCACAAATGGACGACCGTTCCTGACGCTCTAATCGATTCATTTGCTAAGCAAATTATGAAGCGAAGGGATTGGTAAGCGGCCGTGATGCTGCATGGATATATGGGTACACATATGCAGCCGTACCTTCGGTAGCGGTTATTGGCAAGATGCCTACGGGAAACTCGTCCAAAATTGATTACTAACACAGTGAGAACGGAGGCTCTTTTTCGCAGGATTTTGACCGTTTCACTCCGTTCTTTCGCCATTTCCCCACTATATAGCGCCCTACTAGCATTTTAGGCCGAGCACCAAATCATCGTGCCAACGGCCTTTAAAGAAAGTGGATGATTTGGCTTGCAAAGGCGGCAATTCCTACGTCGCTGGAGAAGAGCGCCATACCCTCTCCCACCCCTTTCCTCAGTATTCAAGGAACGAAGAGAAGAGAGCTAACGGAAGGAGTAAGCAGTGCGGCGAATGGTGGTTACATATTAGGTTTGTCGCCATAAATTCTATAATACCCAACTTTTTAAATAGTTTTCAACAAAAACGAATCAGCCTTGGAGATTTATGCACCATTTAATGTACCCATCACCATTCACTACTCGACGCCAGGCAGCTTGTCGATTCCCATCCTTCCAGAACGACGGAGGCTGGGACTTGAAGAAATCGTCGAGCGCCTTTCTGACCTGATCCTTTGTTTCGAACTTTTTTCCGTCCAGATAGCGCTGCAGGTGGCTGAACAGCCAGTAGTCAGAAGGAGCGAGGTCAGGGGCTGTTAGAGGGAGCGTGGGCGCACCATCAAGCCATCCGGACTTGCCCACTCGCGCCTGGCGCTCGCCTTTTGCAGTGTGGAAGTGGGGCGTTGGTTCAATGGTGGAAGCGTAGATTTTCCGCCCACCACTTCTGTCGCTAGCTGAGGGTCGGGTCGAGCTGGTGATCTTCTCAATTTCCGCCGAAGGCTGCGGCCCCGACCGGTAACGGTATCGGTGGAAGGTGTGTCAATCGTCTGCTCCCTTCTCCAGCAGCTCCAGTACTCCATAGCACTCTGGGGTGGAATACCAACAGGACAGGAGAAGCCATGTTGGGAGTGAGAGAGGGCACGGGCCTCACTCGCGCAGCTGTGGCTGTCTGGCTGTTCTTCTTTGTCGACGCCACTGCCGCTTCCTTCACAGCAGTTATGCGTTGAGGAGCCCACTCTCGTCTCAGTGCATCATCGAGTTTGGAGAAAAGTGAAGCCTCATTTGGAAAGTAGGAGAAGAAGTGACAGGCTGGTCACCCTCCTGCGAGAGGTCGACTAAGCGGCACAGTTCATGTTGGCACTCCAATCGACCCAAGCTTTGCTACCTGCCATTTTCTGAGTCCAAAGCTGCAACGCGTCGCGAATGATCATAGTGAGGCAATTGGTCGCCCATGTTCTCTTGGTGGTGAGGTACGGGTCTCCTCCACGGTGGAACGTAGTACTTCCAAATCCAACTCCATCGGCCGACCCGACCTCGGAGCATCTTCGAGAGAAAAGTCTCCTTTCTTGAATTTGGCGAACCAATTCTTGCATGTCATGTAAGAGATGAACGGTCCTCACCGTATGTATCCACCAGCTTGGTATGGGCTTCCTTTGCATTCCAGCCGAAATCGTGGAGCAAAACCAAACAGTGGCGCAGGTACGTTTTGTCACAGTGCAAATTGTGCGACATTGTGTACTGCAAATGCAAGCCTCGTGAGTATGAGCTAGTGTACATGAAAGCAGCTATTAATGTACACGTCACGCACACGTGATGACGTAATACAACCCATGCGAACGAAATGGGAGAGGATCAAACACGTGTATAAGAACTTATGCGACAACCTAATAATTTATTTGGATCCAAACAGTGTTTGGGCTCCAGAGTTGGTGGAAGACGTCCTTACCCCCGATAAGCAAGGGAGTTACAGTGTCTGTCCCTCAAGGGCGTTAGAACCACCGCTCCGCCTCCTAGACAGTGCAAGCACAACCTTTAAAAGCTGAGAACCTTCGAAGACTGAATGCGTACCGATAATGAAGAACAAATAAGTCGAACAATCGGCGTTGGTTTCGACGATGGTCCGGTGAACCATTGCACGGCATAAGAGCACTGATCAACGTGCAGGACTCGATCGAAGAGCTCCATGAATCTGAGCCATTACTCTCACATGGTTCTTTGAGCAATCGCGGGAAAACGAGCACAACAAGCAAAATAAATCCAATTTGAACAGTACAGCTCCAAGATAGAGGAAACCATTCGTAGTCTGAAGATCCAAACTCACCCTTTGTGCGACCCTAAGGAGACCACTTTAGTGTAGTGCTTTTGCATAAGTCTCGCCAACAATACTACACAGGCAGTTGAACAGCCTGCACCCACCAGATCATTCATCAATGGCACACCCCGTTCCAAAAACACAGAAGGACTGCAAAAGAAATTACATAGATACTGGAAACAAAGGAACCTTTTCCTGAGCGTACCTTCCAAGACAGCTCTGATCAACATAGATGAAAAAGGCGGACAGGTCATGCTGAGGAGCAGTGTCATTTTCCTAAAGAAACTTCTCTCGCTGAAATTCTATGCAGAGCGGCTCTTATGAGAGCCCGAAATCTAGCAACTTCGATCAACAGAGCTGCTTCGAAACCATCCTACCTTGGAATTGAGTTTTATTTTGATCAATATATCCCAACAAAATTGGTTGAAGAGCTGCTCGTGATCAGCCATACGACTGGCCAGTTTCGAAATTTGTCGAATGGATTTAGCAATCATTCCATTTGAGTGTCCACAGTGGATCGAATGTGCCTGAAGCAACAAAGGATCCCATCAATTCGATAACCCCACAATTCCCAGTCAACAGGAAAACCGGGTGGACTGACTGCGATGCAAAAACCAACCTTCATTACTGTATCTGCAGATATCTCATGTACGGCTGGATCTAACCAAAGCTGGTCGCCGGCCTCGTTGGGACCCCAGTGAAGGCTTGATAAAACGCGGCGCGCCATACGGTTTGCAGCATCGTCAGGAGGCTTGAAGGAGAAAGTTGAAGTAATGAGAATTTTTGATAAAATGCAGTGACTGACCTTATTGATGAGCCATTTTCCTAGGATGCTTAACATAGATGGCGAAAGCTTGCAACCGGATAGATTTGAAGATGCCAAAACGTCAATGGCATACTGAAAGAACGTTCTCATAGTTCCATTTAGTCCTAAAGACAGTCTTCACGCTCAAGCACCCTTATGCGCCCCTCCTTCTACAAGTAGTACGATCCTGTGTCTCTAAGATTATCGGGGCTCCACAGTAAGTAACGAAGGCGCTGCGGCTCTCATAAGTGGCCGTTCTAACGCCTCCCTAGTTGTCTCGCCAAAACTCACGGCTACCGTTTTTCACGAAATCAGTTTTCAAGAGTGTTTTTCAATTTTTTTCCCTGTCGTTATTAGCATTGGATGACGCGAAGAAACGGCTCACGAATCAGAGGCGTGCATGTTATTGCTTTGCTGGCATAAAGCAGTTAAGTCCGGAGAACTCGTACAAAGGGATTGTCAGCGGTCCTTAGGGTGTTCTCCATAATTTTTTTGCTTTTTCTTCCCTGAGAGTCACTCAATGTCAACAGGTTTGTAATAGAATGCCATATCCACAATTTGCATCGCGCGTATCTTCAGCTAAATTAGCTTGGGCAAGAGCTTGAAAGTGAGGTTTTCGACGCTGGATTATCGCTTTTAGGATGCGCCACGCATTCTACTTTCTCTCAGGATCGCAGCGAGTTTCCAATGCGATTCAGCCCATATAATGACTATGGGGACTAGCTGAGGTATGATGTAAGACTTTTCGTTAAAACATACCTAGAACCTATTCTATGTATTAGGTCCCACAGGGATGATGGGCTTGGTTCGCTCGGGTGGTTGCAGTCGATCCGAGACTTGGCCATCTGACTGCGCGCGTAATAAATAGCGCCACTTGTCACTACACCACTCCAATGAGCCCAATGTAAACAGTCAAGCGAAGAAGGACTCACGTTATCCATATGCGCCATACTTCGATCGAGCACCGTCAACAGTTGATCGAAAGTAGATGGTCTTCGTGCAAGAAGCAATGAGACCGCTTCACTACCAACTTTGTACAAACTTTCACGAGAAGCTTCATCACAGAAGCAAACCTTTAACAGATCTTTCAGCAACTTTTACCTCAACGAACATAGAGAGTATTGGAGAAATCTAGGACACTCTTTTGAAGTTAGAAGAAACCTGAGAAGAAATCCCACCTCTATTATTTCCTTCACCAGATGCGAAGTGTCATTGTGAGAATACGAGGAAAGAGCGGCAAGTGTGTTTATGAAGAACACAGCATCCAACGGGCCCAACGCTTCGACACGTTCTTTTACACCACCTAAAAAACTGGACTACCGTTGCCACACTACTGTACTTCAGAGTTAACGCTCGTCCGCTCCAGATATATTTTCGAACAGTATCGTTCTCAAGAGATTTCTGGGTGGAAAAAAGGAACGTCATAATGTCTAGGCTACCTGCCGGAGGACGGGTTTGCAGCCCGTTTTCCAACAGCTGCTGTCATTCGCTCACTTCAACTGTAGGTGAAAAAGGGCTCGCCCAGGCTGAACCAAGCCCCTGATATGTCGTCGCATTCGCAGCAAACACCGTACACATTCAAGTTATTGACATTACTAGACATGTTCGAGATCCAGCTACGGTAGGAATTTTCAAAGTTTCGACCAAGCGAAAACTTTGAAGTACTCAAGAAGCCAAAAGTATTGTGCTGGAGTGACTCTGACCACACTCTGCTCTTTCCACGACTCCCGCACCCCGCTTCCAAATGCAGGCTCGACTCCTTGGGAGATTTGTCACTGAGAATAAACTGGGGAAGATGGAAACCTTAAGGTTATTATCACTCTTTGAACCGCTGAAAATATCGCTGTTTTATGCAAAACAGCTCGACAATCGCGTTACGATCACCGGCGTTCGTAGCGCGATCCCTTCCCCCCCCCTCCCTATCCCTCGAGGCGTTTTGGCAGCAGCCCCAGTCCTTCGATGATGGTGCTCGTCTTTAGGTTATCAAACTGTCCCTCTGAGATAATTTCCCAGCATTTTCACCCAGATTGGCAAATTTCGATGAAAATCTAGCCCATATTCTGAAATGCTTTACCGTGAAGGATGAACAGAACGATTTGATGGTTTCCCCCAACTGCTGAGACCATACTTTGAAAAAGAAGGCCCGATTGGCCTGGACGGTAGCCGATTCAGGATTTGATCCTCACACCTCGCGCGCGATAAGTGTACCATTTTCCACTGCACCATCCCGCCCACCACTTTAGATAGAATGAGAACATTCAACACAAATTAGAAAAAACTGATTATCGAGAAAGAGCCACCTGTTTTATTCCGCGACACAACTTCCAACAGAGGTATATCGTAGACCTCAGACACTTTCACTGGTCCGGTAGATCGCAGAAAGTATTCACAACGATTGCGACACTCCTCAGAGACACAGTCATACGGTAGATCGACGAGAAATTGCCATAATCCGAATCTAAAGAGCAATCCGTTATCCGAGCCGAATCATATCGCGAAAGTACAACCCAAAACCCTATTTGTTGCATATGGTGAGAGAAACATGCCCTGGTCTATTGGTGAGATATTGCACGGCAAGAAGCACTACGCGATCGACCTCCTTCTGGAGTTGGTGATCGTCTCCGGCTTGCAGCAGATTACGCGTAATTGTCCAGTGACTACACAATTCACGTACGCTTTGCCTTAATGGTTGTAATTAGAGAATCAAATCAAAAAAAATTAAAATCAAATCGAAATTAAGCGCAGTTCGCCTTGAAGGAGGGGACACAGAATGAAACAAAGCTAAGCTTCATAGATGGCCTTGTAAGGACCTGCAAATTCACGGGACCCGTAGTGGACTTAATCATCACCATTACTTGTAGCTTCATCGAACAACTAGGCTGTGTCTTACCGCAGGGCAGACCTTGGCCACTTTGACCATATAGACTAACAAGGAAGGATCCATACTCTCGCTGGGCCTACATTCAGTTATGACGATGTAACAGGGGGGGGGGGGCCAAAAAAAAGTCATTCCGGCCGAGTCACATATGAGCGAAGTTTTCGCAGCCCAGACAGAGGAAGTGGATATGAGTACCAGGGCGGAAGATACCCAAGATCTTCCTCTATAAGCAGGAGCCGGCTGCCGCCATTCACCTTCATGTACACCAAAATATGAAGTCATCTCCAGTCGCGGCCTGAGTGAAGAACGCCTTTGGAATTCACGTGCCTCCAAACAGCGCGGAACTCTGTCGCGGAATGACTCACCATGGTTAGCTACCTGGAGACCAGTACTCTTGATCTGCAAGACCTCAAACATCGAGCAGCTCCGGCAACGTCGCTACGGTCCAGGACATCATCTTCACCCCATTCACCAAGGCGCGGGTTGATGGTGTGGACCGGCCGTACCTGGAATGGATGAACCGATATTTTCTTCGTGGGCCCCAGACTGAGGGTATGCGCTGGTGGCTACATCGAGCAACTCGAGGAGAATATCCCATCTTCATGTCGTCGCCCGTACCCTTCTTTGAAAACTTTTTTACTGCTACAGTGAGGTGCCCACATGGAATCGACAGAGCGTCGTGAGAAACTCTCGCCTATTGGAATGGTAAGGGGGCTGTGACCTGGTAAAGAGTGGATGGTTTTAACGGAGACGGGACTAGCGTTCTGCAACTAAACCCCCTCAATTACTCGCGTTCGGGCGGAGCTCAACAGGGTGTCTACAGTGGCGGAGAAATCAACGATCTCGCTCAACTCCGGTACCCACTCACTTTCGCGCGGCCGAATCTCTCGATGGCGCTCCTCCAGAAGGCTGTGGCGCGGAGTATCATTATAGTATTTAATGTGCTCTTTAATATGGTAGTAAAAATGTCCGATAAAAATTTAATAAAGTGTAACTTATAGCGCCTTGAAAGTCATGGAGGCAAAATGACTTTTTTTTGGCCCCCCTGTATACTACTAGAAGCATCTTTGGACGCTGATTTCAGATCTGCTAAACGATTCTGGGAGAGAAGTTACGGACCTTTCTTCCTACTGTGCTTAATCATTGCGGTGGGCTCCCTGCCCATACTTTGAGCATGTGAACCCTTCGTGACACTTCCGCAGCCTTGTCTCGGATGGCGCGAGCAAGGTATGGAGAAGAACAGACAGAAATAAGTGGTGGCGACAAGGTGCTTCAGATCCTTGCATGCATTTTCGTATGTTTCGCTTTATTTTCTTAAACCGTGCCTAATACTTGCAAAGTAAGTTTTTACGTACCAGTTCGGACAGCAGGGCCCACTCCGCTCCCTATTGAGCCCTGTGAACTGGAATGGGGGAGATATTCATTATGACTTTAGGGAATGCATTGAAATTGGTAGCGCTGATCTGGCATCCATATTTGGGCATATGTTGTTGTAACTAGTGCGGAACATTCTTTTTGGAACGGCCCATTTTATTGAGGTCTTTCCTCCACGCTGTCGCGATACACTTGAGCAAAGCACATGATATATCCTGATACAAAATGGCGTGTTGACACGTAGGAAAAATTTGTTAAAGCTCTAGTGGTGAATCGCTCTGCTCCCACTTTCTTTCACTAGTTTTCTCTGCACTATTTAACCCAGTCATCCAGAATCTGGCCAGGTTTTGAGCGACTTTTTTCTCGTGTGCAGAATTGGCTAAAAATTTATCTTCTGGGGCAGTTTAACTCCGAAAGATGAATATCGCACTTGCCCAGCTGAAGCTTGAAAGCGTTTTTTTTTTTCAGCATTTTTTTTTTTTTTCTATCGTTGTTGTGCTATCTGCTTAAAGTCCTAGATAGTCTGGTCAATTATGCCTGCTAAGAAATTGTCCGCTAGTGAGCCTGAGTGGGTGAAGCAGGTATTTAGAAAATGCGACGAATTCCTGGAAAGGTACGATAAGCTTTTTGAGCTTGTTCTAAAAATTCCAGGAAACACACTCAATCATTTTAAACAAGCTAGTAGCTCTAGAAGAAAAGCTGCCCACTGAGTCGCAAGCAAACTCTCAGCAGAGCTCCATACTTTACAGTACATTGATAAAGTTCGCAAATGACTCAAAAATCGTCAACGAGAAGGCTTGTAAAATAACGTGGGTGGGGGTTGAGGAAAAATCGAACGAGGAGGCCACCCGCGTCTTCGATCGGGAAGCCATAAAGGAGGCGGTGGAGACATCGGGGGACAACGAACTCCTCGATGAGTTCAACAGCGGTTACATTGACTTCCATAGGTACCCAAAAGTAAGAGCTGGGGGGCAATCGCAGAGCTCACGCCCTCGTATAATTAAGATCAAGTTTGAGAAATCAAGACCTTCGAGATCGCCTCCTTCGCCACATGAAAAGCACGAGGCAGTCCCTTACCAAAAACTTTGTGCACTCTTATGTGCGTCCAGACTACACCAAAGAAGAGATAGAATATGACCGTGTGCTTCGAAAAAAGCTGGAATTTTAAATAGTCAAGAAGGTAAGCTTCTCTACGTAGTCCGTGATTTAGCCATACACAAGCTCAGATCCCCACGGGACTTGCCCCAAAGCAATGCAAGCAAGCGACTTGTACTCCCCAGCAGGCGCCCTCTTGCAGCAGCTCCTCCTCTTACTCCGCCACCTAGGGATGGGTTTTCCTTTCAAGGACATTCGCCTCCAAATCACATGGCCGTGGAAGCCCACTAGGACAAAGAGGGGGTGGATACAAGACGACTAAAAAGGTACCGTACGCAAAACAAAACAAATATCCCTCAAGTTTTTATGCTATTAAACGCTCGCTCTATTGTTAACAAGATCACCGATCTACATTTCCTTATGCACAATGAACCGGAAGGTATATTCATTACTGAATCCTGGTGTAAACCCTGGACTGTTCATGATGCCATACTCAGTCATGGATCGGCTTACCGCGTCTACAGGTGCGATCGACAAGGTGACAGAGTAGGAGGTGGAGTAGCTGCACTTATACACTCGCGTGTCTCTCACCACTTTTTAGCTGCGAGAGATTTTCACAGCAATATTCAGACAATAACTCTCCAGATTGATTATGGTAGCTTGAAAGTACTTACCCTTCTTGCATATCGTAGCCCGTCTTGTGATTCCTCTTCCTTCTAGAATTTATTGAATATCTCAATTCGCTCTACAGTGAATGGACAAACCAGATTTTAATTCTAGGTGATTTCAATTTTCCCTTGATAGACTGGCCCAACATGGTTCAGAGAGCGAACACATCTATGCCTGGTTCCTCTTCATTCTTAAAATTTGTTTCCTCTTACAGTCTTAAGCAAATGGTCAAAGAGCCTACTCATGGGTTGAATATACTAGACATTCTGCTGGTTTCGGAGCCGACTATCATCAGAAACCTAAAAGTTCTTCCACCCTTCAGCACATCAGATCATTGTAGCGTTAGTTTCGAAATTGTTGGCAGATCCTTACCCACACTCAGAAAGTCAGTGTTGCGTAAGGCCTACTCGAAAGCTGACTTTGAATCAATTAATGCATCTCTTGCACGCATTGACTGGATCAGCCTACATCGCGGCTGTGATAGCACAAATGCCTTTTACCTCGAATTTTTAAACATATGTAATGAGCTGATTGAAAAGTATGTCCCTAATGTGCGCGTTAAGAATAACCATGAAAGGTATCCGAAACGTATACGATTGCTCAGAGCCAAAGTTGATCATCTTTTCTCTCTCTCACAAAATGTTAATAATGCGGAGTACAAGAAGTTTTCCATGAAGCTAAAAAGAGCTCTCGCTAAGCACCGGGTGTTGATTGAAAAGCAGATTGCCTCCTGTAAGAATTCGAAACGCTTTTTCAGTTACTGTAAGAAGAACCTTAAACTAGCAGAATCAATCCCAAACCTTATCTCGCATGGTACTTTAATCAAAGACGATCACAGTAAAGCTGACTTGTTTGCCAGATATTTCAGGTCAGTCTACAAGAGTCCGCAAAACAGTGATGCCACCTTGCCCCCTCTCACTTCCGACCGCCTTGACTGGGTTGATGTAAACAGTAACATGGTGTACGCCATTTTGAGGAGGCTTCCCAGCAGAATGTCTACATCGCCGGATGGCATTCCCTATGTTTTTCTCAAGAAAGCGGCATTGGGACTTACTTCTCCTCTAGTCATACTCTTTAATAGAGTATTGCTTCATGGAGAAGTCCCAGACCTGTGGAAAATTGGATTTGTGCGGCCCGTTTTCAAGAAAGGTTGCAAGAGCGAGGTTTCAAACTACAGGCCTATTTGCCTGACCAGTTCGATTAGTAAGGTAATGGAACGCTTGATAGTTCGTACTATTGTTAGCTTTCTTGTTGAAAGGAACTTACTGCAAAATGCCCAACACGGTTTCCGCCGGCACAGGTCGACGGCTACTGCGCTGTTGTCCACCGTTCCCCTATGGCAAAAATATGTTGACGAAGGGAGTTTCGTCTCAGTGTGTTACATTGACTACGCTAAAGCATTCGATTCTATTTCCATACCGCTGCTGCTAAAAAAGCTTACCGCTTACGGTATCAGTGGTCAACTTCTCCGCTTTCTCGAGTCCTTTCTGTCAAACCGGTCTCAATCAGTCGTAATTAATGATGCCAAATCCTACTCGTATTCCACACCGAGCGGCGTGCCGCAGGGTACATGTTTAGGGCCCCTTATGTTCCTAGTTTACATAAATGACTTGGTCGAATCTCTTCCTGACGGGACATACTGTAGCATGTACGCAGATGACTCAAAGATCTTTACCCTAAATGACTGTGAAAAACTGCAGAAGGCTATCGACGCTATTGCGAACTGGTCTTGCAAATGGCAACTTGAAATCTCTGTCCCCAAAACTGTTGTGATGGCAATCGGAAGGAGTCATCCTCCTTACGTTTTTACCATGTCTGGGAAAGCACTAACGATTGTTGAGCGAGTTCGAGACTTGGGTGTTGTATATAATGACAAGCTCGAGTTTGATGAGTATATACATAATATAACGGCTTGTGCGAGTATGAGAGCAAACTTCATCTTCAGAGCATTCAGGATTCGAGATCCGGCTGTATTGTTTCGACTTTTCGTTCTTTATGTGCGGCCGCTGTTGGAGTATTGCTCGCCTGTATGGTCGCCTCGAAACAAATCGCTGATCAACGAGATTGAAAAAATTCAGAAAAGTTTCACTTATCGATGTTTTGTACGCAAAGGTATAAGTACGTTGTCATACGAGCAGCGACTCCGTAAACTCAGCGCAGATTCCCTTGAATTTAGGCGAAAGCTATTTGACTTTGGATTTCTTTACAAAATGACCACGGGTGAAGTCTGTATTAAACTCCAGGATCTTTTTGAAAAGTCCTCCACCATTGGCATGTCAAGGGGTCACCCTTACCGCATACGGCCTTATAGGCCCAAAACGGATGCTTTCAAGGATTCCTTTCTAGTTAGAGTTGTCAATGTTTGGAACAGTTTAGACTGCAGTTATTTCAGATGGAAATGCGCATCGCTGTTTCAAAATCACCTAGCTCTTCGCCTCGAGCACTAGTTCTGGTATCCCGGATTGCCTCAACTCATCAAGTCCCGTTGTCTTGGGCTTGTAGTAATGAGCTGTCTTCTCGTGCGATCTTCTTTTGGTCTTTCAGGCAGTTTGCAAATTCTCAGGCTGATTATGGTTATATTAGCTGGTTGTGTTCTTCTGAGACTGATTGTAACATCTCAGACTGACTGTGTTTTTTCCCTCAGACTGATTGTTATACAGCAATGCAGACTGGTCCCCCCCCCTTCTTTCATCCATGTGTTATATCTTTTTTTTCATATTCTTCCTTTCTTCTCTCCTATGTCCTTCCTCATGTTTTGCGCGTCTATCTTGATTCGAGATATTCTCCCTCCATGACTGACTACAGTGTATGTTGTCTTGGTATCATTCGCATCTTAGCGTCAGCTTTTGTTACGGCGTTTCTTTTATCATAGCTTTTTTAGCCTCATTACGAGTTTGCGAATTTTGTTTTTCTTATTGTGTTATCTCCCCCCCCCCCCGATATTCAAGCGACAATGGGAGCCGGGCCGCAGCGAGGTTGGCGGACCTACTAAGATGGTATCCGGAGTTCGAATTACGTCCGCCGTCGAACTTACAGTGTTGGGCGGCCACTGTCCTTCTGAGTTGCAAAATCTGCCCCTCCCTGTCGCACCCCAAACCACTTCCCCTTGCTCTTGATGCAGTTATCGGAATCTGTGTTCCTCTCCTTAGCATATCTTGTTTTTTCACTGTTTATCTTTTGCCGATACTAATAAAGTAAAGTAAATGAAGAAGGACATGTTCTTTGCGAGACATCCTAATTTCGGTCAGCTATTTGACTAACTGGGACATCACGCTCAATCTTTGAAACTCACTGATTCCCTCGAGAAAGTCTCAGCTAATGTGAGTTCAGGCCAATAAACCGCACGACCTCACTATCTGAATGTTCAAATTAATAGAACCAACGACTTCCAGTGGTTGTCAAAGTAGATGAATTTGGCAAAACCCATCATATTGGTGAAAATCGTCTCCCTGAATTGCATAGCACTTCGACAGAATGGCTTGATGAGACAGGTACCCTTAGGACGATCAAACGGTCATCCATGGTCGTGTTCGCTTTCTCTAGTGAGCGTACTTCAAGAAAACAAGTTAGGATTTCGGCCATCCTTGGCA